TAATCTAATAATGCCGTTTGGAATATGTTGTATATAAGAGTATTTGAGATATGCTGTTTCTTTAAGTTTGATTTCTGTATTACAACTTCTTCAAATAGAGTTTCCAACAACCAGAATTTGCATGACATGAAACGGAAAGAAATCTAGCGTGTTTTTGTGTAGTATTACAAAAAAAAGAAAAAAAAGGAGCCAAAATAGATCCTTTTTACTGTAGGTACATTGATGACACAAGAAGAGTTCAATGCTATTTTGGATTATTATTTTTCATTGCTATTTCTGTGTGTTGATCTTGTATTTCTGTCAAGACCATTTATTTGATTGGTCCATAACAGTTTGGAAGGCAAAGAATGTGTGCCTTATTCTAAGAGTATGTGTTGATACAGTAGGGTTTTGTTCCCTAGTGGACACAGTCTGTGGGTAGGTTTGGTGAGGTTTGTTTTACAACAGCAATAATACAGGTATGTTATACTTCTTAACCTATGCTTATTCTAAGTGGTTATTCTGGTGAATATGATGTAGAAAAATAATAAAACAATTATCTTACAAGAATATATGAAATTCTAATACATATCGGTAACATACTCAAACTTGAGTACAGGGTTAATGTATCAACATTTAAATTGTATGCTGRTATTTTTAGCCAATACAGATATAGTTCAATGTGTTCACCTTAACTTGGAATTAGAGATCATTATCTGTGGAAGATAAGCATCTCATGTTGCTGTGTAAAATATATGCAGGATGTATTTGAGCAAAAGGTAGTGAAGACAAATAGGTGAAGAACAGTAGCTGTTGCAGAGGGTTGTCTTGTGATCGTGTCTGTGTGTTTTACCAGAAAACTAACTTTTTTTCCTTTACTATTTAATGGATTGATTTTAATATGTGTGGGTATAAGTGTTCCTTCATGCCAAGAATTTGTGTGCTCTTCCAGTCAGCCAATATGCCTCTGTGACACTCACRTAATTTCAGCAGTTGCTTTCTTCCTTTTTGGACTATGTAATAAACTTTTTTCATCTTGCTAGTAAAAGTTAGTAATTTAGGAAGTTTTGTAGATACTGGTGATCACACACATACAGTAAATAAAATGCATTGATTTCAGAGGTGTTGCTTGCCTTCTGCTTTAGAAGGTATACGAGGTATTCAGAATCAGAAAGGAGCTTTACTTCAAACACKAGCCTTGGTACAACTGACCTTCTGACCTTTTTTTGGTAATTAGAGAGAGGTGATAAGCTTATCTGTGAGTTCTTACGTAGACTTCATTAGCAGTACATCCTTCCAATTTATGACCAATTCATGTTTTTCCACACACCTTTGTTAAAGCAGCTTCCATTCTGTCAAGAGTAAGTGTATTATCTTGCTGGGACAAGTTCCTTTAATTAGATGGATGCCAGATATGAAGAGCAAACTGGAGGCTTGTTAGGAATAGTTCATTCTTCASTAGACACTGAGTGGAGCTCAGCTTTAACTGAAGTTACATATTTTGCTACAGATAATTTGATGTTGCCACTTACCTTCTGTGTGGGGTTCAGTTTGTGATATTTTTCCTTACTGGCATACTTCTGTAAGAGGGATGTTACTTCTTACTTAGGTTCATTATCTGCTGGTTCAACGTCATATTCATCTATAAAGTAACAATAAAAATTCTTTTTTTAGGTTTTTACTGGAATTTTTGCAGCAGAAATGGTTCTCAAGATAATTGCCATGCATCCTTTTCATTATTTCCAAGTTGGCTGGAATATTTTTGATAGTTTCATAGTTACCCTTAGTTTGGTGGAGCTTTTTTTATCAAACGTGGATGGATTATCCGTTCTCCGATCATTCAGATTGGTAAATAATGTATCTGCATTAATTGATGAATGGTATTTGTATTTCCACTCTACTAATATAAAAAAAGACACTTTTTATAATTAAGTATATATAAAGTGACTTATATAAGTGACTTCGGATATCTCTGCGAGCATCTTTTACAAATTATTTATTTACAATAATTTACGGTTATTATTACTCAGAAGCAAATATTCTTTCAAGGGAAAGAGCTGTAGTTTTATTATAATTGTTAAAACATGAATGAGTAAAGCACAGTGGAATGTGAAATTTATTTTGTGTCTATTGAGAAATAGAAAACATTTGTAGTCTTGACTTCCATATCTATAAATAGCAAAAAGGCTAAAGGTGCTTTTCTAAAATGTAGGAATTATAAAATTCATGAGTTTAAAAGATTTTAAGAAGATTGATTTTTCTTTCTGCTTAGGAAAAAAAGAGCTTTATTTCATTAGAAAAATATTTTTATTGTAATTTGTTTCTACGTGTATTGTCTGAGTTGTATGRTGTGTTCAGAATTCACTATCTGATCAAATGCAACCAGTGTGCTGTTTCTTTCATGTGGAAAACAATAGATATGCTAAAAAAAAMCAACCTGAAAACAAAAGGACAAATTTGGTAATTTATTACATTTTTAAAGTATGGATTTCATGAAACACTATGAAAGTTRTGATTGTTGGAGTCATGTTGAAGTTTCTTCTTTTTGCTATTGCTGAGAGTCACTAGTTTGTAATGTGCTGTTATTTCTATGGCATTTTTGTAACTACTGCAAATAATGCTTGTATATTTTTGTTTTCCAGTTGCGAGTTTTCAAGCTGGCAAAATCTTGGCCAACTCTGAATATGCTGATAAAAATTATTGGCAACTCAGTGGGAGCTCTGGGGAATCTGACCCTGGTGCTGGCCATCATTGTGTTCATCTTTGCTGTGGTTGGGATGCAGCTGTTTGGGAAAAGCTACAAGGAATGYGTCTGCAAGATCTCCAGTGACTGYGWRCTYCCWCGSTGGCACATGCATGACTTTTTCCACTCTTTCCTGATTGTGTTCCGAGTGCTGTGTGGAGAATGGATAGAAACCATGTGGGACTGCATGGAGGTTGCTGGCCAAGCCATGTGCCTTACAGTCTTTATGATGGTCATGGTCATTGGAAACCTAGTGGTATGTAAACAAAATATTTTTACAATTAATTTAGAATATGAAAGGTAAGAGAACCAGAAAGTAATTATGAAAATATTATTAAATGTGTTTTTTAAATARAACTTTTATTATTTTGAATTTTTCCAAGTATGGGTTCTGAAATGGAGTTTTCTGTTTGTTAGATTTCTGATCCTATATAGAATCCTTAGCTTGGAGGATGTCCCCCCTCAGGGGTCCAGAGTGCAGTTTGGAGGATGTGGATAAGAGTGGGCAGCACCGGGTGTCCAGGGTATTGTGGACTGCTCCTCGTTACCTAGAGAGGGATAGAAGAGCAAAGGTATCCCCATTGTTTGACTACCARGATGGGAGTTTGCTGTTTGCAGAAGAGTACATAGCAGGACCTTTTCTCCCTTACTGATTTAGTCATCACTTCCAATCACACATAGACATGTTATTGGGCCTTTTTGTTTTTTTTAACTTATCTCTCCTGTCTAGAAGACTGCTGTAACATTCTTAAGACATTGAAATGTATGCCATTTTGAGACCTGCTTGCTACAGAGCCAGCTTTTTACACAAGTGGAGTAAGGAAGCTTGAATTAGAAGGAAGGTTATGCAGAAAAAAATCCAGATTCAATTACTTCAGATTTTCTTTTGCTTTTTCACTTTTTTGCTTTCTATTTCATAAGTGCTTTCTACAGATACTTCTAAAGTGGTCTGTATTATATCTGCTTTTTTCTTTTTCAGCATCAGATTGGCACTGGTTTGCATGAGTATAAATTTGTCTTTTTAAGTATGTTTTCTATTTTTTAACTCGCCAGTATTTAAGACATTAATTGCTCCACCTGTTGCTTTGCTTTTCTCATTCCCTCTGTTATTCTACAACTCTGCTTTAAACAACTGTCAGTAGCAGAAGAGAATTGAAATTAGCCATCCTGGAACTATTCTTTAGGAATAAAATTTCTAACAACAGGAATAAGGTAATTATCTTTAAAGCAAGCCAGTTTTGCTTCTACCTGTATAGCCACTTGCTTCAGGGTTTCCTATAAATCTATTCTCTTATAATGAAGAAAACTGTGTAGTTGTTTGATTAAACAAAGCATCCTCCTTAAATAATTTTTTAAACCAGAAGMTAGAACTTTGTGAAATGAATCATCCACCTATGTAAATATTTCCACAGTATTTATTGTATTCTGATTTTATTTCATAGCTCTAGGAAAATCTATTACATGAGCAGACATCCCAGTCCAGTTTTCAGGGCCTTTATGTGAGCAGACATCCCAGTCCAGTTTTCAGGGCCTTTATGTGAGCAGACATCCCAGTCCAGTTTTCAGGGCTTTTTAACTATTTCTCTTTCTGTGTTCCCAACACATTCTTTTATCTTATCTTCCAAACTTATAGAAGAGCTAATTTGAAGATTTTAAGASCTGTTATTCTGTTGCTTTGGCATTAAAGTTCCTGGTAAACTCTGGGCTTTTATAATTGATAGATGTTCTGTGTATTGTATTGCTGTGGGAAAAGGATGACTTGGGGATTAAAAGACAGGGTGCATTCCATTTGCATACAACAACATGTTTGTGGGAGTTTGTACCAGCATGTAGAAAATGTATTTTCTGCACAGATCAGCTATGTCTTCTTTTTCAGGGTGCTTCAGTTTGCCATAAAAGTAAATAAGTTGAATCTGTTCAGACAGTACCAAAGGATCATTAATTTCTGCTCTTCTACAAATATAAGCAATGCAAAACCACAAAATCCCCTGTGTTGAGGTATAGGGAAGGTATTGTGCTTAAATTGCATTTGCATTTTATTTATTGTGTATTTTCAGAATTATCTATGAGTGAAAACACAAAGCTTGTTTTCATAAGGGGTCCATAAGAAGCATGCAAATGAAAAGTG